TCAATTCCTCCGCCCCTCTCTGCCTTCTTCGCTAACCAGAAAACGGATATTTAGCAAATCACTAGGGACCATTTTGTCAATAAACATGGATATCTTAATTGAGTTAATATTTTCTCTATATTAAAAAAATAAATCTTATATATACTGACTGCATGATACATGAGTAAAATTTGAATTCATATGAATTGTCATTCATTTAATAGCGATAATGTATAAAAGATTAATTTATATTTAAACTTAGAGATATCCATCGAATCTTGTCTCTCATTTTTTTTAGCCCCACTTTATATTACTATATATATTTCTCTTCCGCGAACATAATGGTATGTTTGGCTAAAAATGCATTAGACAAAACTAAGAAAAATCTGCAACTTGGCTGGGGTCCACCGTGGTGTAACATGGACCAAGTAACGTTTTGTTGAATTAGTGGACGGGATGTCCAAGGGATTGAATTCAAGCCGTCTTCTAGATGGCCAATTTAGAAGAAGAATCGCATGATTTTCAATGCTAAGTCGCTTGCCAATTGCATTATTCATGTCGCCATTTGACTTTGTCCAATTTTGTCTGGTACGAAAACGAGAAAAACATTTCGCTGATAGAGGCTTTTTATATTATATTTTTAAAAAAAATTTAGTGTAACGATTTCATATATATAAAATAAAAAGATAATTATGAAATATATATAAATTTTTTTTTCCATTGGGTCTAAGTGTTATTGAAAATTATTGTTTTGGGTAGAGTAGAGGAGGGTTTTCATCCCAAATGCTTTTCGTTTTATTTCGAGAGAGTTATATAGACATTTTTTCCCTTTTGTGTTTACGAGAATTCCGGCAGATTCGGTTTACACGTTGTGCTTATGCCGGTCTTAGACAACAATTTAAAAAGTTAAACTGTGCGTAGTTGAAACATCGCTGGCTGCACAGGCTCGAAATCTTAATTGCTACGACTTAGGCCTCCACATAAATCCTCCTTTTTGACTTTTTTTCTTTTCGATAAGTGGGGTTTGCTAGGAAATGTAATCAATACAAGCCAATCGGTTGATATATTCCAAGCATATATCATGAACGGGGTCGTTGAGCACAAAGATACAACTAATGGGATTCTTTGTTCTAACGTCCAATTGTAACGTGGCTTTGTTTGACAACTAAAAAAGAGGACAAGAATGATGAGTTCATCCAAAATACACTCATGAACAACAGAAATGGAATCATCACTGGCTTCCTGCATTATCACCTCACTACAAAACTCTCCCTGCTAAAACTAAACATAAAAGAACGGCGATTATTGGTTTTCATTATATTATAATCAGGAAGGAAAAGAAAAAAAAAAAACAAATAGTAGTATTGCTTTAGCATTCTGTCTAACTCTATATATGTATATGTTGTTATTCACATGCATTCAGGTCTCAGCGTGCAAGAATGGATTCCCAAGATACCAAAAGTTACTCCAAATTGAAAGATTGAAATAGTGACAAAGCTGGATTCTGTTCAATGTTACCAGTTTCTTGACCAGTTCAAATTTTCCAGCCAGGTTCAGGTAACCGTTAACATTCATGATGATTTGTAAACAATTAATGTCCATAGGCACACACTCCTGTGTCTGTCTGTCTGGTGGTGTACCTATTTTATAAAATTTCTTGGAGGACCATAGCGCATGTGCATGTGCGGTCACTTGAAATGTGTATGGGTGCCTACTAAGTTCTATCATGTGGAAGATAGTAGTACTTGTATGATAGCTGCTGGCCTAACTGATCATGTGAATCTGCACTATTCTTTTTGGCTTGATTTGCACTTTTATCATTCAACATGGGATTTCATAGCTAGCTCTGAAATTCTGACTCGGGGTTTTGTACTTTGTGCAGGTTATCCGAAGGATATCTGCAATCTGATGGTCCAAGAACTAGCAAAAGAATTCATCCGATCCGATGTACCATATACGTGTATAAAAAGTGTGATTGTAAACTGTAATGGCTCGTGTCGTTCGGTTATTGAATATAGAGGCAAAGGACCTCTCAAAAAAAAAATAAAAATATATATATATATATATATAGAGAGAGAGAGAGAGAGAGAGGCAAATTAAGGATACAAGACAATTTTGACGTTGTACATGTAGCGTTATCTTCCACGAATTGTTCATAGAGAATCACATATTGCTACTGTCTTCAATAATCAGCTGAAGGATATATATAACGAAGATCCAAATCAATTTGCAGCGTCAACATTTTTATGAAAGGATTTGATGATTATACATCGTCGGAAGGGGGGATGAACTGGTTAGAATATTCCACATCACAAACTGGATGCACAGCAGCCACTCAACTTCTATAAATGAATGAACAATTCATCAGAATACAACTCTAAAACCGATGATTGTTGTTGCCTGGCATGATTCTTGAGGACAGAATGACAGAACCATATATTCCATGAGTTCAGTTGGCCCTTAATCAACCAACCGAACGGACTCCAGGTTGCTGTCTTCCTTATCTATCCATCGCAGCTGGCACCTAGCTTAAAAATCAATAGCCAAAATTTGCTCTGGTGGAATAACTTAGAGAAGTAGACCAAAAAAATATATATATAAAATAAAGAAAGAGTAACTACACAACCTGAGAAAGTTGAAACCAAAATTAAGTAAAAAGCTTCATACCTGCGCGGCGCAATTAAAGAATGGAAAGGGTACAAATTTCGGGTCCAATTTCGAGCGCCCCAACTTAGAGTCTGATATTTTTCCAGTCTACCATATTTGCACAGAATGCAAATAATGAATTTGAAGTGAAACTCAAACCATCCTGAACAAGCGTGAGGCCTTAAAACAAGCAGTTGTCCGGTGGTATTTTGTTAAGTTTGATTTAAAAGTTTATGAATTTATGCGTTTGGCAATTTCGCATGACACCGGACGCTCGGAAGCATATAGTGTAGACGTGTTAATAGCTCTCCGGGGTTTTGGGATTCGGAGATTTGTCGTATGGTATTGATGATCCATAATTGCAAGATTCGTAATAATACTCATTAGTCATTACTCCCTCCGTCGCTGTCGCTGTCGCTGTCGCTTCTCTTCTGGTTTAGTGCTAGTGGCGTGCAGTTTGCAGGGGAATTTCTAAGAATATTGGTAAAATTGAAAATTGTCAGAAAAATGGGGTGTTGTTTGGTGGGGCTTGCCGAAACTGGGGTTGTCACATTTAACGTTTGAGGCTACCAATAATAAAATTACAATTAATTTATATTTATTTTTGGTTGCTTTACACTTCTATAATTTCTCCCCCCTCCCCCCACTTTTTTTTCTCCCAAGCTTTCCCCGCTCATGCTCTGCAGACACCGACACCGACACCGACACCGACATGACAGCTACAGCTAATATGGACAAATTTTGTTAGCCTTATTTCTGATTTCTTGGCGGCATTCAGTTTTTTTTAAATATTTTTCGTGATGCCGCAAACGGCGCAAATTTGGGGCGTCAATTTTTGTCCCCCTGGGCGACTACGCACCGTTGATCACATTGATCAACGGACACAGATTGCGGCCAAAATAATTTTTTTATGTGAAACACAATTTTGGATTGTGGCAAAATTTTTTTTTTTAACTAAAAAAACAATTTTTTTAAAGTAAAACCTCAAACCTCGATTGCGGCTATAGTTTGCCACCGTCCATCCCACCTAATCTACGTTAATCAACGGTTGTGATTACCATGCTTATTATTTCTTTATACGGCCATGCACTAAATTTTTTTTTTTAAACTAACACCGCAATTTGAATTTTCGGCATTAGTTTTTTCACCATCTATCCATCACAAAGTTTTTAGATCTACAAATCAAAGTGTCATGATTTAGTCAAAAAACAATTTGTAGTCAAAGTAGCACTACTCCAATTATTTGTTATATTGCCGACAATAACGACTCATGCTTCGTCTTCATGAACAACCTCAAAGTAGCACTACTCCAATAATTATTTGATTTTAAAATTAGGGTTAAAGGGTTTATGTTTATATTAAGGGTTACACTGTGAGGGTTTGAAAATTAGGGTTTCATATTAGGCAAAATGTTAAACACTAACCCTAATTAAGCCTAATTTATTATTATTTAAGTTTATATACTAATTATTACATTCTATAAATATTGTTCAATGTTGCATTATTTATCATTATTTAAATTAACATTAATATTAAAAAAATTTTAAAATATGACTTAGGCAAATTTTATTAGTAATTTAATGGCTTACTTGATTATCATCTAAATTTATAAAATTAATATTATTCTAATATCATATATTAAATTTTTGACAATTCTACTTTATAATAGAATTTTAGTAATACGATTTAAGAATTTTGATTTTAAAATTAGGTTAAAGGGTTACACTGTAATGTGATGGTTTGAAAATTAGGATTTCAGGTAAAACGTTAAACCTTCAAACCTAATTAAGATTACATTTTACCAGAAAAAAAATACTTCATCGCGATTACCTTTTAACAAAAGTTACGTTTTATTAAAAAGTAAAAAAAAAAAAAATCGCTTGTGAGAGGCGATGCATTAAAAAAACAAACCATTCCAAAAAAAACAAAGCGATCCAAAAATAAATGAAAAGTATAATTATTTTTATTAGAAGCCTCACATCACAGATGCGGCGACCCCTTTTTCCGGTAAACCCCACCAAACAACACCATTTTTCTGACAATTTTCAATTTTAATGATATTCTAAGAAATTCGCTGCAGTTTGCATATACGAGATATTATTTTGAATATTTATTATAGTATTTTTTATGACGTGACATATATAAAATAAAAAAAATTTAAAAAGATAAAAAATTTAATAAAAAATATATTAATGATGCAAGTAAATAATTTTTATATCCAAACAAATATAGTAGTGTTTGGTATTTTGTCCCTTAAATTAATAATCCACCAATTTGCTAGTCTAGTGCTGAATGTTTGTGTACGCTGTACATATTGGTGAGAGAATTGTTTTAACAAACTCATCCATCCATTTCTCTTCTTTTCCTTCCTTTCCTTCGACTTAGAAGGTCCCAAACAGAGGAAAGATTGAACAATTCCCTTCTTTTCTTTCGAAATTCCCCATCCAAACAGCGCGTATATGACGGATAGACCTCCCTCTGGGGGAAAAAAAAAAGGAAAAAAAAAAAAGAACAGTTCAGTACTATCTAGAGTGCGGAAGCAGCACGACGTCGTGGAGCAATTAGCAACAGCGAAACTGGAGCCGAAGTTGTAAGTTTTGTGGGCGGAGGAGAGCATAGTGCAGGACGGACGACACCCAAATTGGCCGCGAACCGAACAGAGAGAGGGAGAGGGACACAATGAGATTCAATTTCAACTTCATAGGGCTAGACGATTCCGGTGACGGCCTTGAATCCCTATCTTCTCCGTCTACTTCAACCCCAAAAGAAGATGTTGAATGGCTTCCGCTCCAACACCACCCTATTTTCACTTCCGCTGCCGATGGCGCTCTTCCTCCCTCCTCCTCAGCCTCCTCTAAAACGCTCACGAATCTCTTGGCATGGGATGGAGCCTCGCGCCTCTACTTTTGGGACTCACAAAAACAGTGTCTCCACCGGATTTCTGTTCAGCTTGGCGAGCCTGATCCTAGTTCTATACTCGCCGCTTCTCCTTCTAAGGTCCCTCCCCTTCCGCTCCCCTCCTTCTTTTCCATGCAATTTTTTCAGCTGAACTGATAGCCTTGATAGTTATGTGCGTCTACTTATTTTTCTCGTTCATACGTTTCACGGGGCGTCCAGGTCCGGCGGCTAGGGTTTACTAGCGGTTCGTCGAGGTGGAAAGAATTGAGATGATAAAAGCGTAATGAGCGGGGAAATTAGAACAGAACACGAACGGAATTGTATTAATTAAATTGTGATGAATTGCTTTTATCATCTAATGAATAGCTTAGGCACTGATTGTACACGTTTAGGAAAGGTTTGGCTGCCTTTCACTAAGACAGCTCTAGCATGCTTTATGAGAAGCTTGTTATATTTCTTCTAAGAGATCTTAAGCACGTCCGTTCCTTTTTAATTTTAATTGTTTCAGCTGTGTCCTTATGCATTCACGCCCTATTGTTTTTCCCTCTGTGGTTTTTTTTTCTAAAAAAATTTATTTTAAAATTTTGGGCATTTTCTGACATGTTACCGCAAGATAACCAGTTCATGCTGTACGAGGACGGAAGAGGAGTCGAGTCAGTTCATGATGCTTTTCTTTTTCCTATTACATTGGGGATTATCTGTTTCTGATATATCACGTACTTTCTTAAGGTATTACAAGCAGATGTGCAGCTTAATTACGAGGTCCAGAAAATTTCCATCAATAGGCATGGATCTGCGATGCTCCTATCAGGTTCAGATCGACTGTGCGTAATGTATCTATATGGAAAGACTTCAGTCAAGGACAATATTGTTATCTGCCGGTATGTCATGAACTTCGAGCTTAAAGCAATTCCTCTTCACTGAAATGTTGTATTTCATGACGGTTGTTTTTTACTTTAGGATTTAGGGTGATTCTTGAATCTGTGCCTGGATTCTGTGGTGACTTTGATGGTGTAATGGATACTTAGTTAAATGGGTAACTGATGATTCAGCGTGATACATGCTTCTGGAATCAGAAATGAGTAGAGTCCAGTCGTCTTTGTTATTAGTATCTGGCTCTCAATTGAATGCCGCTCTAAAATGTTACTCGAATATAGTTTTTTAATCAGCTAGTTATGCATGGTAAAAATTTCTGTCACGTGATAACATTTTTCACTTTACACAGGACTGTAACAATAGGGGCAGAAATATACTTTCACAGAAGGAGTATAATCCGCATGTTGCAAGTTTATTGGCACCCTTCCAGTGATACACATCTGGGAATCCTTTCTTCTGATTCAGTATTTAGGTAACCTTTCTTCATTGACAATTATCTCAGTTGCATGTTCCTATTATAGAATATTTGCATTGGTTAAGAATTTTGATTTTCTATCCCTAGCCAAAGAAGTCCATCTAATATTTTTTGGAAAATGATATGTTTGAATGTTACTTTGATGGGATTCAAGCTCATTTGGGTAGTCAGTTTTTAGGTGTAGTTTAAGAGAAGTATATGTTTAAGGCATGGTAAGCCCTTTCAAACTGGCATAATGGTTTTACAGAGAACCTCATTTATGGTGATTGCTTGTATTGGAGATCTCTGCAAAATTCTGATTCATGCCTGTTACCGTGGCACTATAATCTTGATGAAATCTTAAAATGATCCTTGTTATGTTAAAACGTCTTTCCTTTGGGTTCCCTTTCAAAACTTTGGGGCTGAATTACTGATGTTAGGATTTATTTTTTTTCCTGTTAACTGAAGATGTAGAAAACGAGAGGAGGATGGTTTTGATACAGCTAATTTTTACTAATTTCCTAATTTCAACAATAAAAGGCATAGGCTTTCCCTGGAGTCACTATGCACTTTTTTGAGGAATTAAAGATGCTATTTACTTGAGCTCAGATTATGACATTAATTTTTATATTTTTGGTCTTTTCTTGTTGTGTAAGTCAACAAGCAAACTCATATTACACAAGTGATGGTCTTCAAATATTATGCCATGAATGTCGCACTTTGAGACTCTTTAAAGCTCTTGGATGTATGTATTTTTATAGCTTTCACGTGTTGGAGGCTCACTGAAGATGTGTCATTGCTAAATTTAGTTGACTGGTGGAAAACTAATCTTTCTTACGTACAAAAGATGAAATACACCATTTTACTTTGATTGGTAGAACAAAACTCCGACATCTAACAGTTAATTTCTGAGAACTCGAAGAAGTTTCCTTATATGTAAGATGTCATTCTTGGAATAAAGTGTGTGCAATCCATTGTAGCCAAGTATTTCTCGTCTTTCTCATTTTGAGAGTGACTATCTTTCTCTTCCTTATTTTGCAGAATTTTTAATTTGTCTATGTCTCTTCAGCAACCAGAACAGGAATACTATTTGCAGCCTGTGAAGTTTGGCAGTTCAACTAGAGCTTCGTCAATCTGCCCTGTTGATTTCTCCTTTGGTGGCAATCATTTATGGGACAGATTTAGTGTGAGTTAAATTCAATTTTCCATTATTTATTGCTTACCTTTTTACATCAAAAGATAAGCAAGTGAAATAGTCTAAACCATTCTGCTAAAGCGAGAAAAGTTAGCATAAAACCATTCAGGAAGATTGTTGCACTACCTTTGTTCTTGGATGTGACAAATATTTGGAGTTGAACCATGTTTGCACCTTTGCAAGCATGTTAATTAATAGTCGAGATATGTATGCATCCAACCATCACATAAAATGTTTCTTCTTTGTTTCTAACATTCTTATCACAGTTTCTGATTTTCAAATTTGATTTTTTTTTCTAATGTACAAAATCCTGATTCTTGTTTTATGCTTGAACAAAAATATTTAGATCCTCCAGCTAATTGGTACCATCTATGATTCATGCTCAAGTTCTTTGTGATGTCCAAGATTGTTGCTTCTATCTCTGGCTTTCTTGACGCTCTTTGGACATCATGATCTCTGCTAATCTCTGTCTCAGTAAATGTCCTGTAGTTCTCCCTGCTAATCCCTTTTAGTGATGTTCCAGTACTCTTGTGGCTAGTAATTCAAACTATTTTGTATTACCTTTGTTTCATCTAACTAATTACTTGTTTGTCTCTTGCATATACAATCAAGTGTTGCTAGAGTAGTGATTCTGTTTCTTTATGCATTTGTTACAGCCTTCTCAACCCTTATGGGATATACTTTGAGAGGTTACGTTGGCATATTGATTATTATATTCCATTCTACAGGTTTTCATTTTATTCAGCGATGGATCAGTTTATGTTCTTTGCCCCATTATACCATTTGGAAGGTAATTGCTCATTTATGCTCAACATATCAGTAAATTTAGAGGGAGCCACTAACTACTTCTCTACTGTGTTTGGCTGAACTCTGCATGATGTGTTAGCATCTGAGCCAGGTTCGTCGCTTGCATGCTTGGTTTGTATTATTGTCATGCAGATCAAGAGTAGTAGATTCCTGAATTGCTCATGGAGTTGATGTTTGTTACTTGACGAAATGATCTAACTGTAGAAACACTAATTTCTTGACACAGTGTATCATTGGGATGCTTCTAGTGCTTTTTTTTATAATATACTAAATTGTTTGCAATTGTTTAAGTAGTTCTCTCTGGAATGTAATTGAGTAAATTGATGAGCTGAATTTTAATGATTTTTCCCAGTGTTTACAAGTGGGAGGCGTTGCAGGAAATTTATGTTGATGCCAAAACATTTGGGTTAAATTCTACCAACTCAAAAGCTGTTAGTAATATCAATATGGCAATCTCTTGGTTGGAAGCAATATTTCCTGAATTAAGTCAGCAATCTGCTGAAGGTGGGGATTCGTTTGCTCTTAAAGCTCGGCCTTATGCTTTTATTGACTCGTCCATAGTATTGCAGGTATCTTTTCTACCTGTCAAGCTGTCTTTTTCTCTTGTATTAACCTCTCATCTGCTTATTTATCAGATTTACATAGTTTTGAAAGCTAAGCTTTAACATGTCCTGCATGCTCATCTTCTGTGTGAACTTTCCCCAATTGCTTTTTTTTTTTTTTTAAATCATCAACTCTGATTCAGTGTAGTTATCCTTGCTGTCTTTTACTTGGAATAGACCATAATATTTGGCTTTGTTGCTCGATTAATTCTCGTCCTTTCCCCCAGTTTTCTGCTGCTTATTTAGAATTTAAACTTTTGATGTTCCAAGCTTGCATTGAGTAAGATAATTGCAATTGTTTGAGATGCTTTCAATAAAATGAAGCAGGAAATGCGATGAAATGGAAGAAAATACTTTTTCCCTTTCCTTATCAAGCTTTAAGATTTTTGCACCCCCCCTCCCCCAAAAAAAAAAAAGAAAGAAAAACCCTAATAAAATGACAGTTTTTGTTGCCTTTACCGATTGCCAGAGGGCTGTCCATAGGTTTCTGCTATAAACTATACTAAATAGAATAAAGAGTGGAGATATCAGGAAAATTTATGTTGGTTAGGACCCACTTAGTTCCACAATCATCTAGGTGGAATGTGAATTGGAACCAATATGTCCACATGTAACTCTCTCATTTGTCCTGGACCAACTACTAAGCTTGCCAAGTAGTTGGTGATGATCGACATAAAATTTCTTGGAGATATCATTCTTTCTGATTACCATCCATTTCATTTATCTTGATGTTCAAGCCAGGAAGTTTTCATGATGAAGTGTTGTAAATTTTGCTAGTTCTGCTGAGCAAATTGAGCTGACAACAATCATGTTTCTAGGGGCCTCTACGTAATTTTTGTCATGGTGAAAAGAAAGATACTCAAGTTCAGGATGCGGAAGGTCAAGGGCGTGCAGTTAGTTTTCTTTATAACTTAGTTAGCAAAGATTCGGTTTTGGTAATTGCTTGGAGTGGTGGACAACTACAAATAGATGCCTTCGCTGATGAGATCCAGCCAGTCTGGAAAGCTGGTAGTCCTCCTCGTCTTTTTGTTGATTCATGTGACCGCATACTTGGTATTGCTATGATTTGTGAGTCAGTTTCAAGTGATCTCTCCTTTCTGGAGCCTGATCCAACCCTTGATCGTGATGTTTGGTTGGGGCATCCACCTCCTTTGTTGAGATTGGCTATTGTTGACTTAGCTTTACCAGGTAAAGGTGGTTCACATATTTCAATGTCTGTTGATCCTCTTATGCCTGAAAGAACATATTGCTTTCATAATGGAGGCATAGATTCTGTTGTCTTGCACTTTCTGCCTTTCTCAAGTGAGTCAGATGGCAAGGATGGGGCAAGGAGAAGTCCATCTGTAAATCCTGTGATCAGTGCCTGCCACGGAGAATCTTCCTCAACACCTTCACTCTGTGGTTTCTTGGCTTTAGCAGATTCATTTGGAGATTCATGGATTGTAGGAGTTACATATTCTCGAGAATGTATTGTGTTAGAGATGGAGACTTGGAATTTGTTGCTTCCCCCAATTGTTGATGAGGAGAAAAACCCTGCTCTTGAGGAAGAAAAACAATATACCAATAGTACAACTATTATTAGCAAGGAACTCCTTAGTGGCCCTAAAGTGGTTCTTCTGCCACCATCATCACCAAATCTACGTTCTGTAACTGCAGACTCAATTGAAGGGCGATCTACTCTTCATCAATACTTCAAACTCTTTCATGAAAATTACATGGAATATGCTTACAAGGTAGCAGCTTATCATGTTGTTTTGCATGTAATGGCCCCATTAGGTTAAACTATAAATTTGGAAGGAAGATTAGGAATATTTTCCTAGGTGTGTGTTTATGTTGTTAAGCCTTTGTTCCTTATTGACTTTGTTCGTTAAGAGATATTTATGTTTCTGATGATAATGCCTGGAATATTGACCTATAAGACTACTATGTCTTCGGAGTTGCTTTAGATGTTGGGTTATCTTATTTCACATCTAAAACCAATAATATTATTGCTCAAATTATGTCACCGATGATCTTCAAAAAGAGCATTTATGATGATCTGCTATATCAGGAAGCAAAGAATCATATTTGCTGTATGGTTTATTGTGCCTTGCAAACATTTAAATTTCCTTTTCTAAATAAGAAATGATATAACAGATTTTAATGTCACCGTTTCTTCTGTAAAAGCAATAGCTTATTGAAAAATGGTATTATTTGGTGTTGCACTGTGAACTTTACAAAGTAGAAGGATAGGCCATACACAGGAAAACTTAAGAAGGTAGACTATTAGTGGTTCATTGTCTTCTTTTGCAAACAATGCAGACATAGTGAAAATTTTCTCCTCTTTATCCCAAGTTGGATTCAGTGAGAATGCTCCCTTGAGCACCCTACTCAGTGTAGAAAGCAACCAAGTGAGAATGCTGATCTTTTCTAGGTTCTACCATGGGCTCTTGGGTGTAATGTTCAAGTTCCCACTACATTCATTTGATTCTAGATTCCTCCAAAATTGGAAACCTGTGTTGAAGATTTTCTGAACGGTGGTTTATGGTATCTTTACACCCACTCACTTCAATATGACTGGTTGTTATTCATAGTCTTCCAAATTTGCTAAGTTTTTCTATTTTTGCTCAGCTATGCTGATATAAAATGATAGTTTATACTAGCTGCCAGAAGAATTTTCACATAGGTGAAGGTTCTGAATTTTCAGAAATGCGTTAACAAGTATAAGCTAGATTCTCAACTGGCTTTTTATTTTTTAAATGAAGAAATGGTGCAAAGTTGATTCTAGGGGATAATGATCATGTCTCAAGGATATGGGGAGTTGGGACTTTTGCCTTTTTAGTCTCCCTTTTGTCTCTGTGGGGTTTTAACTCCTGTTTTCCTCCATTGACATTTTCTAGGTGTACTTTGAACTCCAGCACCATGCACCTCAGCTGAAGAAGATCATTGACAACCAGCATTCTCGTTTACAGAAAGCAGAACGAAAGCTTTTAGAAGTTGAAGAGAAGCAGGAAAAGTTAGAGAGTCGCATTACCAATGCAGTTCAGCATTGCAATGTCCTAGAAGAGCGCCTACTCAAATTGAGAAACCTGCCTGGGATACACAAAAAACCGCTTTCCAAAGCAGAGCGAGATTTTAAAGCAGAACTAGGTAACCTCAGTTAATGCTTTAAAATATCTTTTCCTCCCTAGCTGCCACTTCCTGCCAGAAAACTGATTTTCAGGTGAACAAAGTGTTGTTACTATTCATCTTGGGTTGTCATTATGGTGTAGAATTTGGTCATCATTTATGATATACATCTTTGAAGTGATTATTCCTTTACCATTTCATGGATCAAATTCTTTGTCGATACGTTGTCTTATAGACCAATTAAACAATTTTGCAGACAGATATAATGGCGTGGAATTAGATGCATTGCGGTCATCCATTGAAGCTTTGGATGCAAGGTTGAAAAGATTTGAAAATTCTCAACAGGCCAACCAACATACTCAAGTATCAGGGAAGAGGATGAATTATATGCCAGCAGAGGAAGTATCCAAGCTCAGATCCTCGATTGAAAAGCTTTCACTTGTCAATAATGAGAATACTAAGATGGTTAAACTCATAGAGCCTGCTCTGAGAAACCTTGAAATCAACAGCACTCAATGAGGCATTTGCAGTTCAATTTAGCATCGTTTTGCTGGCTCATTGGTGGTCAAATTGGACAAGTTCAAGCTTGCAATCTACTCAGGAGATGCTGTTTACTGGGTAGCTAGAACCATCTTTTTGCTACTGCTACCCTTGCTTCTGTAAGTGTCAGATATGCAAATTCTTTGATGGTTGCATGCTGGTCCCACCTGTTGCTCTTGCTGTTTACAACTCAAGCTGAAGCTTCGCAGGCGCGCAAATAATTTTGTGACTAGTTGTTCTTTAACAACTGAAATTTGTATGTGACATGACTCATAAGGTTAGAAAAGATTCAGTTAGAGAATTGTATGTGCAGTCTCGTGATATTCTATTGTCAAATGTGGTTCCATTAAAATTTATTGCCCTTTTTAAGGTTCTTTGAGTAATCAATTTGCTAAAAGCTTTACTGCTGTGTTTTTATTTGTTAGTACAGTGGTTTGCAGAACATTTTGAAAAGTACTTTTTGAGCCATTTTCAAGTGAAAATGTATGTTTTCGGCATACAATCTAATTCTCATAATTTGAATCAAATCAACATATGTTTCCAGTGTGTCGTATATGAGTCCAAATTTTTTATTTAAATTCCATATCGCCCCCAATACTTTGAGTAGCACCTTTTTTTCCTCAATTAGCTTTCCATTATATGGTTTACACGAGTTGCATTATTTAATACTATATATGTGAATTGCCAGCTTAAAATCTATTAATATGACTATTTTTTGAATTTTTTTTTTATAGGATCTTACAATCCTACGATTCTACAATTCGATCCTGTGAACCTCAAAATGATCCTAGGTGAGATCCTGATTTTGAAAACTTTGCTTTCAGAAGTTGTATGAAAGTGGTTTCCTATTTCTGCGCCAGTTTTAGGCAGATGAGCAATTTTTGGTCTACGTTATTGTAGTCAAATATGTCCGCACGTTTTTACGAGTGTTCTACAGCTGCCATGAGAAAGTTTGTGTTGCTGGACTCCTCCAAGGATACAGATGGTCTTTCAGTTTTCTTTATGCCTTATTAAGATGCAAAAACCAGAATGTCTCTCTGCCACAACCATTGAACATCAATCTGCTAGAGATGTTCCGCTTTGAAACTTCAGGAATGTTGAGCTTTCAGTTAATGTCCTTTCCTGGGTGTATTTGTTTCATCGGTAATGAAGTTGTGCCTCAGCTACTTCCCTCGTACCTCTTAAGAGTGAAATAAACATTCGAGGAGCAATGATCAGAGCACGACCACTGAGTAAAAAGTTGCACATCTTATGGTACTATTGAAATAAACTCTAAAGAATTCTGTAATTTGACGCACTTACTGAATGGTCCCTTTCTTTTCTTTTTGTTTCTTTTTTGGGCTAAATGGTCTTTGCCATGAACTTTCTGCTTTGACACCTCGGCATATTTGATACCTTCACAAGTCTAAGTTTTGGACTTGAGATTGATAAAAATGACGAGTTCTCACTTGCCAAAATTTTTTGCATCAGCAATTAGCACATTAATCTCCTTGTTCCCAATCTAGGTCCTTCTGTCATTATTGTAGTACTAGTTTTTGATGGGTTTTTTGTTTGCATCATTTGATCCTGAATGTGCTAAACTGTATAATGATATTTTATTAAGTCCCAGTACATACTGCTGACTAAAGCTGGATTCCTAGAATCTGATAGCCATATATTTCTCCCTATTAGGCCTCTATACTTCTTTACACGGCCCGGACACAACTCTACTCTGGACGATGATTGGGCAGCGCTTCTGCGTTCTTGTTGTTGGGAAAAAAACCAGCTTGTCTTGCTCAGCAGGAAGCCAACTGTTGATCAAAGTTTTTATCAACGAGAACAGTTAATTTAGGTGAACTTAAATCTTAGATAATAAATACCAAGTTAGGCGTCGATGAATGAGATAGATACCTGAAACGGGTAACTATGTGGTGAAGGAAAACTGAGAGCTCTACCCTGGCAAGCTCATAACCTGGACAACGCCTTGGTCCTCCACCGAACGGTGTAAATACATTTAGCGGACTTGTTGCTCCAGGAGTGTTGTTATTAATCTAATAAGAGTACAGAGAGAATCTGAACAAATTAAAATGAGTGAGAAAATAATAGTCTGAGAGAATATATGAGAGGCTATCAGGCAAGTACCTGCCATCTCCATGGATTAAAAGAGCGAGCATCTTTAAAATATTCCTGATTCAGATGGACAGCCCTCAGTGAAGCGAAAACCTTCCATCCTTTTGGAATTGTGTAACCTGCTTGGGGAAAGGTTGAATTAAGTATGTGTTTATGCAACAGCTAATCCTGGTAATGTTGTTGATGGGCAGGGAAGAAGTGTAGATCCATGCAGATTCAAGATTCCAGCAGTGAATATCTCATATAGTCAGGTATATAAATTATCTCATCAGCTCTCCATTCGCAGTCCAAATGCTTTATACGGACACTACAAATTATGTACTTGAATTGGCCGCTAATTCTAACCTTTCATATTGACATCTGTTATTGCTCGCCTAAACACCCCACTGATTATGTTAGCTATCCGAAGAGTTTCATTCACTACCTGAAAAGCACATCATACTCCGTTATTTAGAGAAAAAGTAAGATGCAAGTCACTACAGCACTGTTAAAATTTCCCCCCCTCATTCGACAGACTTACACACTGGGTGAAAGGCATTGATTTGTAATCTTCCCACGTCAACGCCTCTTTTTCACCTTTTCTTGCTCTGATCTCATCTTGTTCCTCCTGCCAAAGTCAAAAAACAAAAAAGAAAAAGATAAATCATCAGTTCGAAATCTCAGCGAATCTTTTAATTTCCATCCTGAAGCCTCGTTGCATGGTTGAGTAATTTCACATTACCCTTCTCCAAAGAGGACAAAAACTACTGCATTCATTTTACTAAACCATGTATCCTTTGACAGTATGAACATGTTGGTAATGATGATATATTGTGCCGCAGAGCTTGTCTACGTTCTAGTGGAACATTCATCAAAACCAAAATCACAATCTGAGAATCATCCATCACCAATTGATGAGTCATTGACCCCTTTGTTTTCTCAAAATAGCACCCGGCAAAGCAGATGGTTATTACATTTACTATTACTCTGTTATTATCAATTCATTGGAAACTACTCCATAAAAGGTCCTGTAGAATATTTACCACGTAAATGCAAGGCAGTTGGTTGGTGTTGTATACTATTGAGCGGCCATACGGCAGGTACAGTAGTCTTAGGAATAAAAAAACGGGTGTGTGGCAACTGGTAAACCTCCAGATTACGACAGCAGCAGCAGTACTACTACTACTACTACTAGTATTTTCTTGAAATCAGCACCAAACTTTTCCCGAGGATTCATTTTCTTCCTTCTTGGAGCCCTTTAGTCCAACCCTTTACATAGCGGCCAGCCTAGGTTCTCCCCACATCTCACTGCTGTTTTAGTAAAAAGCTGCATCCTCAAGCATGATCCCCATATCTTTTAGACAAAGAGGTAGAGGAGTAAAGGAAATTACAAATATTGCCCTCCATAGGGACAGCTCACGGACAATAGTTAGGAAAAGTCTGACAAAGAAATACACTACTGTTGCGGAAAAAGTAGGAGCAGTGTTGGGCGTGCAGATCAGATTTTTCTCAGACATCGAGGGATTGCCAGACATCAACTTGATGTTGTCCAGTTCCTTCCTCCTCCTCTCGCTGTAGAAAACTGACTAAAATGTCTATAGTCGCTCAGGAAAAGCATTTCGTATTGTTTGACTTTCCGAACACCAACCGTGTGCCCATTCGACTCTGTCCCTCTTACCATTCGACTCACTTTTGGTGGAGAGAATAGCTTTTTTTACTACTATTTGTTAAAAAGTCCTAAAGAACCAATTACTACCAGTCGCTAGGATTTTGTTGGTAGAAGGGGATGGCTATTAGGACTCGTTAAAGAACAATTCCCACAGCACCACGCTTCTTCAGTATGGTACTACCAAATTACTGCTACCATGTCATACTACTAGACTTTATTGCTACCAAAAGTGATACGCATCAATAATGATGACACTAATCAATTGTCCACACCTTTTCAGAACAAAAAAAAACTGTCTACACCTAAATTTTTTTTACTTTTCTTTTGTCCCGAAATTGGAGATTGATTGAATTGCATTTTTTTGAATTTTCTTTTGTAAAAGAATTACTGTAACAACTTGATATAATATATGTGATGTAAAAAGGTGATTAAAAAATATGTTCACAGAAAACGTAACAATTAATTTTACTTTAGCCAAACATGGCCTAAGATAAAAGTTAAAACTACATAAACTTGCCTGCCTCTCTCTCTCTCTCTCTCTCTCTCTCTCTCTCTCTCTCTCTCTCTCTCTCATTGAAGGAATATAAACTTCTCTCACAATACCCATAAGGCATCAAATCCTCTGTCCCGAATTATTCTCTTAATAAGAAGACAAGAATTAGACTGTAGTATTACTATTATATGTTTCTGTTTGTCTGATGCCCAAGAGTCTGGGTTCCCAGAATATTGTCAAAACTCATTCGGCTTAGTGAATCCTAAGCCAGTATTGGGCGGGTTTGTTTGGATTGGGCATTATTTACCCAGTTTTATTTATTTACATCGATGAGTGTGTTTGGATTGTAAGTTATTTGTCCAAATATATTTGCTTACATCATCATTACAATTTTCAATACACCCTTTTATCTTTCCAATTATCTTTTTATCTCACATACATCACATCATAAAAAGTGCTACAGTAAAAATATCCCAAATAATCCCAAATAACTTACAATCCAAACAAATTATTTTCTTACGAAAAATTAAAAAAAGGGCAGAGAAAAGGTCAAACTACAAACACGCCTAACCTTTGATACCTGCTGTCCCGTGGAAGTTCTATTAGGGCGGTAGTGCCAACATAAGGGAAAGTGATGCTTTGTTTTCTATTTATGTCACATACATTTCCATGATGTAAAGCAAGAATGGAGGCTCAAAGATACCAAATTGAAGTTACATCGCAGACTCCAAAATCACACATGGGGGCTAAAGCTATACATTGAAAAGTCAAAACTTCTCTCATCTCTCTGTCTTCTTTTTTTTTCTTTTTTTCTTTCTTTTTTTCTTTTCCGAGTCCTTATTGTTTTTATTTGGATCTAATTTGTCGGCCACTCTCTAAGTATAGATGCCAAATGTGTGTAAGATCGCTTAAACACATGACATAATACACTGTCTATAGAATTAGACAATCAAAGCAAACAAAATTTAGCGCCAACCTAAGTACATCAACAGCAACGTGAGGTACCTATCAACACTGGTACGCCACTCCGTTTTGTGAGGGCTAAGTTTAACCAACCTCCTCTTTGTCAATTACGACTATTTATTAATTACTCTTTTGCCTCTCAGACCTATAGGGAAATCCTTTTAGCCAGGTTATGTAGTACTATGAAAGTTCAATAGCTTGAGACTGATGTGGTGAAAAAGTAATTACCACTGCTGTAAAATCTAGGACAGGCGGAGAAGGTGAAAAACTTCCCAGCAATCCCACTTTTTTTTATTTTCTATTTTCTTGATAATTTTTTAGGGATGATTTGAATTTTAGTTCAAATAAATCACAACAACATGATCCGACAAACAGAAACATTTTTTTAAAAAAAAATTTTAGGAGACAAACTTTTTTCCTGCAATTTTTTATTTTAGCGATGTGATGTTTATAAAATAATAAAAAATAATTAAGTAATGCGTCGTCAAAGAATATCCTAAAAACTTTTTTTGTTTTGTATGAAAATGTACACAACCCAAAGGGACTCAGACTACTATCTCCTCCATTACACGGAATTTCTATAATAGCTCTACGTTGCAACCTCCAAAGATTTGCTTGGATAAGAATTTAGATAAGGTGGGTTGATGATTTTATCCATGAGAGGAAAGACCAACATGCCGGATGGTGATGGGGTCTGGCCCCATTATTATTTGATATGGGTCATTCTATTCTACCATATACTAAAAGAAAAGAAAAATTAAAGGAAACGAAGGTTCATTTTTTTATATCAAAAAGTAATGAAGGGAAAAAGAACTTCTTTTTTTTTTTTTTTTTTTGGGGGTTCCAAAAAAGAAAGGAAGAAAAAAAAAAAAAAAAAAAAAGAGGAGGAGGACAACAAAGAAGAAGACGGAGAAGTTGAATAAAAGAGTAGAGAAAGTGGATAGATAACTAAAAAACGCACCTTGAGCTGAGACAAAGCAAGAGGCGTCTCGGTTAAGAACTTGACGGCGAGCGTCATGATGGTGGAAGTGGTATCATAGCCGGCCACCAGCAAAGCTAGCAAGAAATCCACAATCTCCTCGTCCGAGAATCCTCCTCCGTTCCCATC